CTCTCTCTCTCTCTCTCTCTCTCTCTCTCTCTCTCTCTCTCTCTCTCGCGTGCGCGCCGCTCTTTCTCTTTCTCTCTTTCTATTTCTATTTCTTTTTCCTGCTTTTCTCTGTCTGTCCTTTTCTTGTCTCTTCTTTTCTGTCATTTGATGCTGGTCCTGCCGACTATTTCTCTGCGATTTCACTTACATTCTACCTCTCTGTAGGCCGCGTGCACCTTGACTAAACGAGATGAGCTGTAAGTTGTAATTGAGCTATACGAAATGAAAGAGGTGAGTTCGTTAATTAACCTGTTATTGGAAGAGAATTCCGAAAATATTCTAGAGCAAGAGTAACATATTTTGTACTTGGAGTACCTACACCTCTACTGTATATTAAATGTATTAGAAAGTTAGACTCATTAAAATATATCTCTGAGTTTCTCATGTTTATTAGATTTCGGTTCCATGAGATTGAAGAAAAGTCTAACAATAAGTGAAATAATGAAATAAAAATTAAAAATGGAAGGGTGAAATAAAACACACACATACACACAGATGTAATTTAATATAAACTTGTGTTGCGTTGGATTTTTATCTTAAAAAGTTCTTAGACATTGTGTGAGCAGTAATGTTGAGCATTGATATAATTGTAGATCGCTTATCATCGATTTATGCCTAATGACTATTTGCTTTCGAATATTGTTTAAAGAGTCCATTACTTGTGAGATGTTCACAACTCGCAGCTCATTGCTTATCGTTTATCAATATACACGCCAGTTTATTGCCACCTCATTCTTTAGCCAATAGGAATTTATTCTTTGTCATTCATAGAGGATACTGTTAATCGCAAATATTGCTTCAAAAAGTCGTTATCGAGTCATGAACTGTTATTATTGTTATCATAGAATTATCTTAGTTATAGACGAAGAATAATTCTGCTGGCTTATTTATCTTACTCCTTATACGCCAAGATCTGTCTACACAGAAAATCGTAAACCTTTCAGATTGATTATTAAATCTTCAAACGTGATTGAAGATATGTGAACAATATATATCCATAATTTGAACTGTGTAATTACGTGATTGCGGCCACACGCTTTTTCTCATGCCTCTTCAATTTTTGTTAATTTGCAATTCAGATTATTTATGATTTTTCTCAGTCATGATTCCTTTTTCTATTTATCATATACTAAAGCGTTATATACATATATGAAAGCCACATAAAAATAAAAAAAATTAATGTTTGTATATATACTATCATATACTATCATGTTTTACTGCAAGACGAATAACTTAGTTTTACACCTGTTTATTTTTCCTTTTTTAATTTTAGTGAGTTTTCGACATATAATAATTGGATAATATTATAATCACGATTACATTTTAGGAAATGTAATATTTTTTCGTATCAATAAAATTTACTATATAATGTTTCGCAGTTTTATAATGCGAGGAAAAAATGTATTATAAGGTATAGTCTTCGACGAATTGGCTGTGGGATTTATATTCTGCTGTCTTTTTCTGTCTTCTTTTACTTACTATCGACATTCTGTTATCCCTGCTCGAGAAATGAAAGCGCCCATAAGAGTAATGTCGTTCATTATCGGTGTTGTTGTCGTCTTGGCTTAAGTGCTTGATTGTGGCAAATGATTGTACCGCATTATCTCGGAGCACCGTTGCACATATGTAACATACACCCACACCTACACACATGTACACACACGCACTTTTGTATTTATTATATGTCAATGTGATATCTCATTGTCACGGAGTCATATTCTCTATCTACATGGTAAGAAAAATCACCCTGTGAATATGCCGAATGTCACCTAAGAATGTCTTCGCAGGCCCCCATATCTTCCCAATGGTTTTCACCTACTTCTGTACGATCCATTGTCTTTTATATATAGTGGGCTATACTATTTATTGAGATATCGACGTTCCTTGGAAAGTAATCCCTTCTGTCTTATGGATCTCTTGTCGTTTCCATAAAGTGTGTTTGATATATCGTAGAATAGGTACTGTACAGCGTGTGCACCTCTTAAAGTATATGCTCCAGCTCGAGGGAACAGAATCGACGATTAAAAATAGGCTAAATGTAGGTATGCGTGACTTACAGGATATAGGCGTTCTATCGATTCGGCACATGTTTACGAATAATGTGTGTGTCCTTGATAATTATTACTTTTACTCTTTGGCAGCGATATTTCGTACCTAATCATGGTCGAAACTTCGGACAAAGTGATTGAGTGCAATCGGATGTGAGAACTTCTATTCGTATAACTTTATCCGATACTCAAATATATTAAAATCATTACAGCAATATATCTTGAACAACTGATAATGCTATTAGTTATAATTATGTCACAAAAGAGATGTACGTTTATTTCATAAGATACTACGAAAATATTTCTAACAATAAGTATAATTAGCTATTAAAATAACAACTTTGAATATGATTATATACGTTTGATATGGATATATATTTATATTTATAGCAAAACTTTTTAAAAAGATCCGCTTAGCTTTAGTAACGTGAATCTTTCCAACGGCGCGTAGCATAGCGACGACAAGTAAGTGTAAGTTAATATAAATCTTTTTGATTATGTTTTCTACTCCTAAGATTTTAGTAAAGCATGTTAAGTAGATAAATGTGAGCAAAAAAAAAAAAACAGTACTCAGTCGCATATTAAAATTATCGAATATAAAAACAATTTTTATATTGCATTTTTAATTGATTATTGAAATTATTATATATGCTTTGCGTTACATTATTCTCTCGATTATGTACATCGAAGTGGACTGATTACTGTTATATATTTATAATTGTCTAAAATCTCTCTTTGCGCAATTATATTAAAATGCATGCGTTATTAGCAGTCTGGTATGTTTTTAAACTTATTTATAAAATCTTTTTTTTTATATGTGTATAATATTATATTTACTCACTATACACTGACACTACACTTTCAGCGTGAGTTCTTCTTATCTCAAACTGAATGAGGTGTATTCTCTATCTTTTACAACTTTCGTCGAAGGCTTGCGAGAATTGTCCCTCGCTCCTGCGGAATATTATTTTCGTTTATGGTTTTTATCCTTCGCATTTTCTTCATTGCATCAGAGAGTTCCTTCGAACAGTATAATTTTCGGCTTGCAGTTTTCGGGCTTTATTTTTTCTATTGTGGATTACCGCGCATTTAGAACAGTCAAAATCATCCTACTGCACATAATCTTGTATAAGTTTAGTGTGCGAACAAAAGAAGGAAAAAGGGAAAAGTTTATTAAGTATAGTTTCCATTTTTCCATTGGTCGCACGGTAAACGCTATAAGCCAAAATTTCACTCTTCTCACCCGGAGTCTTCTTTTACTTCTTCAAACGTTTTTCTTTTGAATCATACTTCATACTTTCGTAGTATTCCGACCGAGTTGCGTTTCCTTGCTAAATGTGTAATTTTGAAAACTGCAGTTGGTCTCCCAGTTTACGAATGGCAGGCGAGGGGCAGTTGAGAGACTTCATCGAAGATCTTGGACCGGGCCAAATGGTCGGAAGGCAAGCACTCGGGGCCCGTTGCCTCGGTGAGATTCAGCTGTCGTTCAGGCAAATTCAGAAGGGATACCTTGAAGTGGAGGTCGTACGTGCCAAAGACCTTAAAACGAAACAAGGCAGCAAAGTAATACCAGGTTAGTTAAACTTCGATAAACTTTGTGATCGCCGACAAGTGATGCGGACGCGCTTAGCTTCGGTTCTTATTCCAGCTCCTTACGTGAAGCTATATCTGGTGAACGGTAAAAAGTGTATAGAGAAAGCGAAAACCACGATGGCACATAGAAAAACATTAGATCCACTCTATCAGCAAGTATTGGCGTTTAAAGAAAACTGGCGGGGTTGTATATTACAGGTATGTGCATCTTCTTCTAGTTTCTTTTGTTTTAATTCTTACAGTTTTATGCGCATATATTTAATTGCATATATTTAATTGCAACATCGTTATGTATGATTCCAGGTGACAGTATGGGGTGACTATGGTCGGATAGAGGGGAAAAAAGTGTTCATGGGTATTGCACAGATCGTATTAGATGAGCTGGACCTCAGTCAGGAGTTGATCGGATGGTACAAGCTGTTTGACACTCAAGCCATGGTCAGTGGAGCTCCATCTCTTGCTTTGTCCCGTCGATCTTCGGTCACGTCTCTCGATTCTTTTAAGATCTAAAAGAATGACTGCTCGAAGAACGTACCGAAATATTTCTTTTATATATATTTACTGAAGAGATCTTTGAGTTTCTTGCAGTAGACAAAGTAGAGCAGACACAACTGAGTTCGAGCTCCTATCGCGGTGCACTTAGTTGCTTTTATCATTAACAAAATACCGTAATGCACGAGTCTCGATGTACAAGATAGTATTACATTTACTTTAACTGATTAAACAATTAAAAAGTGTGTGGAAATTGTTATAAACGTCTTTAATAACTTAAGTGACACGCATAAAGTCATCGCTTGATGATGTTATATGTAGTATCAAATAAATATGTTAGGGGATAGAGAGTTCGGATTACACCGCTACATCCACCGTATAAAAGTTGAGAGAAGTATATAAACAATTCTCTATCATGTAATATTACATATTCTTCACTACGGTTGACAGAATTGAAAAGAATCTTAACACACCCGACGCGTATTCCCCGTAGGCTATTAATGTCGAAGCCTAAAGCTACTTAACGAGTGACGTTTGGCTCTGAATACGGTAAAATCAGTTTAACGAGGGGTACATAGTATGAGAAATGCGATTGTATGGATAATTGAAAATTCTGCGGGACCGGAATGAAAACAAGAGATATAAACAAGGCGATGCGAGATTTTGCAAAAGAATGAAAGAACGTGCGAAAGGATATGTCTTTCTAGAAACACCACTAGTACATCACATATCATGTACGGCATATCAGACGAACCACTAGTCTGTATGTAGACTAGATGTAGACGTAGCAGCCATGTTCCCGGAGCGCCAGATAGTTTTAGGTACGCACTGAGATCAAGGCATCGTTCGTAGATAGTTAGACAACGATTTAACGTGGGTACATAAAAGGCGACGAATAAAAAGGCGCCGGTACGATTGCAATCGATCGCGGGATGATTGCAATATATCTATTCGTAATATCTTGACGATCAAATACAGCAATATTACTCGTTTAATGCCCTTTCAGGACATTTAACGGTTCGATTGATTTTCTCAAGTACCCATGCGAAATCTTGATACACATTTGTTGTTGCCAATATCTTCTTTTCATTTCCACCGTTCTGTATAGAAATCTCCTGTTCTTCTTTGAAAATGCCTGTCCTCTATGAAAATACTTCCATTTCGGCTTCGAAGTAGCGACATAAGAGTCGATAACAGAAACGACACGATATTACGTTATCGTATGTGCGGTCGAAACTTCGTTGCCTTGTGCTATGTGCATCGATTTTACCTTTCCGAACTTGTAGAAGGAATATGCCTTTGCCTACGAAATTTAGTTCGACGTGGGGAAAAGTTCGATTTTCAGTAGTCCTTGAATTTGCTATTTGCACTTTGTAAGTTCAATATTTTTCCTTGCCCATATAAGAACGATTTTTATAGATTTCCTGACATTGCTTGATACACAACACGTTATTAATTTCGACCTTTGCACAATATTATTATACATTCTCTTTTTCATGACTCGTTCAAACTTCCTTGTAAATAAGTAAGTCGTGAAAGTTTTTGATACATATACGTACATATGCTTGAATTTTTAAGAATATAAAAAAATATGCGAAAAATAAACGAAGGTAAGTTTGTGCCGTATTCGGAGTCCTATGTATCCTCTTGTATATTTTCTCGAAATGTTTTCACGATCAATTTGAGATATTGAATGGTGCAGAAATCTCACGACAGAACAATTGTGAATTTGTATACCTATATATGATGACGTACGATGCTTGAATCTGCAACGAGAACCTTTATCATTCAATATTTCATAAAAAGTAAGTGATGTTGTGTATTGATAATTAGTAACACATTTGTTTATTTTATTTGCAGTGAAACAAACTAAATCAAGCAAGTTCGGGATAGATGTGAACTCAAATGTGGTGTACTAGATAAATAAGATGTGGAACGATCAATGACACTCGTTTTCAGTGAATCTAAATGTGGTTAAGTGAGTAAGGAATTCATGAACATAGTGAGAAATATGAAGCGACAAACGGTCACGGACTTCATTTAAACGGCACGCGAGAGAGATTAAAAATGTTGAGACATTTTCAAAATGAGAAGACATTTCCAAACTTTGTATATAATTTAGGACAGTTCAAGTACTAAATGTCGATCTCCGAAACGATCGGCTAAAAGACATTTATCGTTGTCAAATTTTTAGTCAAAAATGTCACCGTCAGAGCATGTATTATTTAATGTAAATATTATAATAACACTATGATATGAGAATTTGCGATATGTGCGCGCTGGTTTGAATGGGTAATGATGTTTACTTTATATTCTCGTTGATTTACGATTTCTACGATGATCGTCGTTATAGTTTCGGCATTTTCCATTAATTTATAGATTTGATTTAATTTAACATTTTCTAAGTAATTAGCATCGGAATAATTAGAATGTACGATGATATAATTAATTATACAGTTTGTTCCCTGAATACTGACGTTTATTGGTTATCGTATTAACACGTGTTACTTGGCTTTTTAGATATCATTTTATAATCTGTGTCTAAAAAATGAGGTAATTATTATGACGTAGAAAATATGGAGCAGGCATATGTACTATATTTCTCAAGTACGAAGCAGACTGATAAATCGATTCCTACACATCTAGTTTGGATCTTTTCGTTAAATTAATAATCTCGAAGCCAGAATGAAGAAGCTATTACCCGAACAGTTACGAATTAGCTTTGTTTGAAAGCTTTATTTGGAGATTTCATTTACGTATAAGAACCAGATTGAAACAAATTAAAAAAAAAAAAAAAAAATAAACCGCCCATATAACTTGCGTAAACGGGACACGTCGCGACAAAAATTCTCTTTCGTACTGATTTTTGTACAAAAACAGTGAAACGCCACTAAATATTTAAGAGGCTTTGTAAATCTCTGTAAGAAGCGCGTAAAAAAAATGCTTGCTGTTAATTTTATATCTTAATTACCGTGCTATGTGTTCGATCTTTCTTCATGCGAACACTCGCGAAGATATATTCAGCGAGCATGCACATGCACGTCTGCTGTGAATAATTACATTAGTAAATAATTACATTTGTGCCCTCTGAGAGAGAAAGAGAGAGAGAGAAAGAGTGGGAGAGAGAAAAAGAGAGAAAGAAAGAGAGAGATTGAGATTGAGAGAGAGAGAGAGAGCGAGAGAGAGAGAGAGAAAAAGAGAAAGAACATTATTTTTTGTGAAGTTTTCAAGATTTGGCGTGTAACTAAGCGTGTAAAAGACAAACGTTTCAATTTAATTATAGTATGAGATTTGGAAGTACGAGGGAAAAAGTCTGTGAAAGAAAGCGAGTTTTCAATATTTTTCAGGTATTATTACGATTTGCATTAATATTTATGTCACAATTTAGGTGCACTATTGCGAAGCGATACGTTAAGCGAATACTAAAATTGGAAAAAATTACTGCGCAAATTTTCTTTGTGAGTCTTGTTAATCTCTCACGAAGTAAGCTTTTTATGTGACATACTTTGGATCACGAATTATCGTATAGTTGGAAGGTACTCCTTGGATATTACCGAAAAAAATTGACAAACGGCATGCAAGCTTCAATATATATGGGTATATTACGTATATTTTTATAAATTTCCGATTCACTATAAAAATTTGATAGAGATCTATAGGTTCGAATGTAGAGAAATTTCTATAATTCGCGTCACGTCACTTGAATCATAAAAATCGTAAGATTCAGCGATATTAAGGTCGCTCTCTTATCACAATTCTTACTATGATTGACCAAATATAATATTTTGCTTTGCAACTTGAAACGATTGTCTCATTCGCACTCTCACACGTTTCCGCTCTTCGCTATATCAATATTTCTATGCGATTTGCAAACGCGATCCTTTGAGGTAAGATCGAGAATAATGTAAGCGCGGAGTTTGATACGCGTGCTGAGATTATATCGAAACGCCATCGAAATACATGCAGTCCGTCGTTAAGTGAGTTATGACGTAAGACTTACAATTAGCTTAGAGTTTGACGAACGAGATAACAAGTATCGTTAATTTACAGATGAGCTATGTAGATGTCACCGATAATCCGATTGTTCACGATAAATCCTAAGTAACGTAATTTTTCTCGTAATCGGGAGACCGATCGAGCTTTAGGGGAACGAGGGAATTGTATAAAAGAAGTGGTATCTTATCATATCTGTAACATGCTTAAATTAGAGGCGTACAGCAAAAAGAAAGAAGCTTTTTTACTCGTGAGAAAACAAAGACAGAAAAATAGAGTTCTATCCGAAGACAAAGAGATGTATGTATATGTAAAGTACTGTTGTGAAAAAAAAAGATATTACTATAAGCTGATTTCTAAGTACATATTTTGCAAGTGCACGAGAACTTATCGAGATCGTGAGACGACGTATACACAAGCATAATTCTGTAATAGTTAACTGATAAAATATACAAGACTACTAGATAACTCTTCAGTTTGTAACGTGTCGTTTACAGACAGCTGTATAAGATTCTTCGCGAAATTGACTCGACACTCGTCTCTTCGTGAGCTGTTTCTTGCGTTTTCGACAAGTAAAACGATTGACACAAATCCGTTTAAGTTACACTTAGAGCTGAGAGAAAATCGTAGAATTTGTATCACGAAAATTTGCGAAGACTGCGCTCGCGTGAGCAATCGAGCGATTTGAGAAATTGAGAAATTCGCAATTGTTACATGACTATGCGTACTGCGAGTAGTAGACGAAGAGTAGTGACGAAGTGGCAGACGAAATTGTTCTCCGTGTCGAGAAGAATTGCGTGTGCGTAAAATTTTACGTGTGTAAGAAAGTAACGTAAATTCGCTCATCGCGAATGATATCTACCGTAATAATACTAATACAATTCGTATGATACCGATTAGAATCGTCGATTTGTCATGAGAAACAGCGCGAAGAGTGCACCCGTCGATTTCTATTCTTGCCATGCCCATTTGTACATAGGCATGCTCAATTCTAGGATCGGACACGCGCATCACATGAATCACACACGTATATACGTATTATTAAACTACGAAACTACGGAACACAAATTATTATCCGACTTTGTACCTATATATTATTAATTAACTCAATGAAAGAGATCGGGGTGAAACCCCGAGAACTATTATCGATTCGAATAGTAGAAGCTAATGCGAAAATGGGGGCGTATAATTCAGAGAAAAAAAAAAGAAGAATCTAACAAATGATAACAAAGAAGGAAACATTACGCGGATGAAAAATGCTTGAGAGCCAAGGGGTACCACTTTTGTCAAATTTAGAGAGCCAATTTAGGTTTACGACTATGGTAGGATGTGCGTGCGCGTGGGTGTGCGTACGTGTGTGTGTGTACGTGCATCAAGTGCATGAGATGAAAAACTGGGAAAATAAAATAAGAGAGAGGGAGAGAGAGAGAAAATGTCCGTGTATGTATGTGTGTGTACGAACGAGAAGAAAGAGGAAGGGAAATCATACAAGATATATCGAGCTGTAAAACGAATGATCGACTATTCTCATAGGAAAAAGTCCGAAGTCCGACGTAGCTTAGGCGATCTTGTGCTTGTATCGTAAGCTCACGAACGACTCGTATATATCCGAACGCACCGGGAACCGGAAGTGATTAGACCGCATATCATCGTTTCGTCGATCATTTTTACGATCGATTTCGACAACATTTGCGACAAACGCGCCGGCGCGCGCATTAATTGTCGGATCTCTCAATTAGACCCTTCTGTGTTTCTTTTCTAAACGCACGACTTTCAGTCAAAGTAGTGAATCTTTTCGAGCGTCTTGGTCAATATTTTTCTAGAGCGAGTCACGAGTCGGTCGTAAGAACGCGAGCAGTTTACGATCTTAATATTAAACGAAATGCGGAAGAGAAAAGAGGAATATCGCTGTCCGAAGTCGCCCATCGCTTGAAACGTGTCCGCGACGTGCGATCCATATATTTCTAATTTATCAATAGTAAACACGTCCGAATTTATTTAAAGAATAAGAGAGCGGACGAAAGAAAGAAAGTAAGAGGGAATAAGTATGATATGTATGAGAGAGAAAATGACAGAGAGAATAAAAGAGAGAGAGAGAATGTGTGTGTATGTGTGTGAGTGTGAGAGAGAAAGAGAGAGGAGGAGGGAAGAGGAAGAGAATATGTTGAAGGGAACGGGGAAAAAAGCGGGCGTTAGAGAAAGTGTGTAATTTTTCGTTAAACAAAAACAGAAAAGAAAAACACGTAAATTACGAAAGAACGAAAGAATTTAAGCAGTACGTTTAGACGACGTTTCGCGAAACCTCGGCCGAGAACTCTGTGAACTCCGTATTTTGTCCCTCTCCCCCTTCTCACGCTTTCATCAAATCAAGAAAATACGAGATATTACCGTACGTCGTACGACGCAAACCATTTTTGTTTCTATTAATAACGTTGTACCTCCCTCTCGGGAATATGTAAAGAGCTGGATCACCTGATTCACGGAGTTCGCGGCAGGAGATCGCGAGACGATTAAGTATAAAGCGTTAGTGACTGTATCCAGTATCATATATCTGATAAAAGATATACCCCCGATGCCAGAGATGGCGTGTGACAATAAAGTGATTCAATGATCCTGCCGCGTTTCAATTGTCCCTCACACCCTTGCGTTTTTTTCTTTTTCGCGAGAGAAGAAAACGGTAAATTTGCATTCGAATAAGAATCGTCCAAGAATTTTCTTTTCTCAAGGAACGACAGAGATGAGAGAGAGGGAGAGAGAGAGAGATAGAATGAAAGAAAGAACGAGAACGAAAGAGAGATTACATAAATCGGCGGTATCGATCACGTTTGTATAATAATTGATATGAAATACAAGGGATAGACGCACGGCGTATGTTTGTGCTTTTTATCGCGTTTATTTGATAGACCCTGAATATTTCGTGGTAACAATGAAATAGCTCATTGTTTATAGTGTTTATATTTCGGCGCGCCGTTGTACGAAAAAATCTATCACCATGCTATCATTCGCGCCAACGACGCCAATAATATTTGAAATTATTTGAATGGAGCTGAAGCCGCGGCTGTGTTTAGAATTTACCCCCACTCCATCCCCACCATTCGTGTTGCCGCGGCGCGCGGCGACCTGTGACGTCATTGTATGGCGCGCCGAGACTCGAGCAGGTAATAGGCAGGAGGTCAGGCAGGTGAGCGAGCCGTTCCGTGCGTCGTCGTAGGTATTTCTCGAGGCGCGATTGCGAAAAACAAGAGAGACATTGAACGCAATCACCCCCTTATTACGATCATGATAATCGTTCGTCGATCCGCGTTAACTAATGCGCGTAATGATGGATTTTGCGTACCGCGACGACCGCTTATTGAATACTCCGATATTTTGGACAGTTTATTCGTCGAAACGGGAGATTCGGGAAGCACTGCTTCGTCGCGATATCATGATATGATGATAAGTAATTTATATTTAACGGCGCTTGGATGTGAATGA